CTCCATGAGAACACTTGGTTAGGGAATCTTAGCTTAACGTTATCCCAGCTTTGAGGATCCTGAGGTCTACTTCCTTTGTCCCAACTGCCCCAAAATGTATGCTGGCAATCATATTCTAAGCTTATGGCCCCCGCAATATACATCTGAAGGGTCTCATTAATAAGGTTTTCTTAAAAGGTAATAAATGGTGTTTCCCTAGCTCCTCAAGGTCCTGGAAACCTTGCTTCCAAAATCCCTTGGAGAACTTACTGACCTCTTTCCAACCTGAGGGCATATAATGAGTTCCCTGTCAGGCAGTTCTCCCTGCCCATGGGCCCTGACCCCATGCTTTAATAAAATCACCTTTTCGCACTAAAGATGTCTTCAAGAATTCTTTCTTGGCTATCGGCTCTGGACCACCCCACTATTACCCTAAAACTTCATCAAAACTACATTCACTAAAGGCACCAATAACTAACAACATGTTATAAAATCTGACAGCTCTTACCACTGCTGTTACTTGACCTCTCAGCATAAGAATAAGAAAGAAATCAAAGATTCTGTGGAACATACCTTTCCAGCTACTCCTCATACTTTTAAAAACTGGTGTTCAGTTCCTTTAAATAGTGGGATTCAGTTCAAGATTTTCTGCTCTTCTCACTATCCATAAACAATCCCATCCTTACTCATAGCTTGGACTGACATCTACATATTGATGATCCTATAATCTATATCTCCAGACTTACTTTGCCTTTTGAGTTCTGGACACATGTATCCCACTTTTATAAAACATTTTCACTTTGACATTTTACAGGACAACTAAATACGTGTTCTAAATGGAACATATCATAGTGATGAGGTGAGTGATGATGTAGTATACCACCAGAGTTGGGGGAAATAAAGCCAAGAGGAAGTTTCTTTAAGGAATTTCCATATGTTAAGGAGGACTTACAGATTACTGGAGGCCTAGCTATTGTCAAGCTAAGGTTGTTTTTTCCTCTAGCAAAACATTATCATTAAGATACTAGGGAGTTCCTGGAGATTAAGCTATTGATAAGATTGTCTTTTTCTTGTAAAGTTACTAAAACATGTGTAAACTATGGGAGACTCTATCAGTTTAACCATTTGTTTCTGTCCTTTCCTTTGTTCTTCGGCAGCCAGGAGTACATTATTACACATATCCCACCTGCACGGTGGGCATGGTGTCACGTATATTACACATATCGCACCTGGGTGGTGGGGGTGGTGTCAGCTTGTGCTGGGCTCTCACTCAGTTTACCTTTATCAATCATGTCTCAAAATCTAATTCTCCTATCTTGCTAAATTCCACCATCTATACTATATCCAAGCCAGAAATCTAATTCATTCTTGATTGCTTTCTCACCCTACCCATCTCCTAAATCACACCAATGCAACACTAATTCAGCTGGATTCTACCGCCATAATTTCCTTAGATCCATTTTCCTCTACCATGGCTGCCTTTCTTATTTCTTAGCTGGTCTTCTGCAGCAGCCCCCTTACACCTATAATTTCCCCCAATGTGTCCAGTATACTGTAGCCAGAATACTTCATTAACACAGATGTGACCAGGTCTCTTCCTTCATTAAAGCCTTTAATGGCTAATTATTATGAAAAAGTCCAAGTACCCTACATGATTTACAAAGTCCTCCACATAGCTATTCCTATCTCTCCAGCCTTATGTCAATTATAATCATATTGTACTTCCAGTTTCTCAGAATTGCCATATTACTGAAAGTAACAGTGCTCATTGGGTAAGAAATTCAATCCAAGCAGTTCTCTCTTTGCATGGTTCTGATATGCAGATTTCAGTTACCATGATTTAAATGACCCCAATCCCCCAAAACGGGGTACAAACTCCAGTTACCAATGGTTTATTAATTAACTGCAACTGCAAAAAGTAAAACTTCACTGCTAGCTTCTCAGATCCGCAAATCACTACATAAATCAGACGTGTATCATGATCAGTAACCAATCACATTACGACTTTTCAAAATTTTTTGCTGATTGGTCACTGCACCTCTGTTATTCAGTTCATATGAATAGATGACAAATATGTAACCCTATTTCCTTCTTGTCTCCCAGTGATAAACCCACATATTTTACAAAAATGGGTAAGAGGAAGAGGAAATTGGCCAAGGGGGGGGGAAAAAGATGAAAGCACAGCAAAGAAGCAAAAAGTGATTACTACTGAAAGTGACATTTAAATCTAATGTAAATGGGTTCTAAAAATAGCTGCCATGATAGAAATGTGACAGAAAAGGATAAGAGATCTCAGAGGAAATGATGCTGACAAATACCTTTGCATTAAAGTTGCTCACGGTTATTTCACAACATAAAAAGAGCTAAGGATAAAACACTGCAAGCTAATACAAACTTAGGGGTAAGACAATTCACCAAGACATGGAAAAAATGCTAACTCTATTAACCTAAGTTATAGGATGACAAGAAGGTAGCAAGCACTGTTCAAATTTCCTTGAGAAGAATTTTACAAAATAAATAAATAAACACTTTAATTCTCAATGTTTTTAATGCTTTAAATTACAACATGTGAAATAAACATTTGTTTTATTGGCTTTTTTTTTTTTTTCATTTCCTCTACCTGTATAATTCTCAGTAAGAGAATTATTAATGTTTTGATGAAAAAAATGTCATGGAACAATTGTGATTTTTCCCATTGATTTTATATTGGGATTGCTTTGCATAGCTTCAGGTTGTGGTCATTTACATAGTTCCACATTACTGGGCAAACAAAGGCTGCTTGGATAAGAAACTTTTCTTTAAATGTTTAATTATTTTTGAGAGAGAGAACAAGGGGGAGGGGCAGAGAAAGAGGGAGACAGAGGATCTGAAGTGGGCTCTGTGCTGACAGCAGAGAGCCCGATGTGGGGCTCGAACTTAGGAACTGAGATCATGAGCTGAGCTTAAGTTGGATGCACAACAGACTGAGCCACCCAGGTGCCCATTTAGTAAGAAACTTCTATCCACCCAAACAGTAAGCAAAAGTTATCCCAAGAATTCCTAAAATGCTCCCAATATTTCTTTAATGTATACTTTCAAGGCACAAGTGAAAGAAATCTTTCTTGCAAAGGCAGTAGTACTGACTTAAATTATATTGACTTGAAAAATTAATGAGTACTACCACAACTTGGCAAACAGATTAGGGCAGCATGAACATTTATCGAACAAGCACTCTACCCGAAGCATCTCCAGAAACTTCCTTCAGCTTTTAACTTGGTCTGTTTTGGTTATCTCCTTTTTCTGAGTGTTTGAAAGACACTCTCAGAGGTCAAGAAGAGGAAGTAAAAGAGAAATAACGATTAAAAAAATAAATAGATGGATCTGTATAAGGTCAATAGAAACCAAAGGAGAAGAGATTTTTACAAAGCAAAGGGTGGTCAAAAAAGTTATATACTTTGAAAAAGGTAAAACAGATAAGAATGGAGAAAAGATCACTGTGTTTAACAATTATGAAGTGCTTTTAAGAGAATCAGTAAGAGGTAAGGGTGGAAAAAATGGTAAAAAATTGTGTAAGAGCATTAATAATGTGTTTGTACTCAAGACAAAATCATAAATCCTCTTTATAATGCCACATTACCCTATTTTATATGGAGCTAAAGATGGGCAAGGAAATACCACAAAGGGAACAAAAGTCAAGCTGAGAACCTACCATAATTTTCATAATAATTTTCATACAACTTAATGACATTCAAGTAGCAGGAAGAGGGAACATTATCTTTTCCAGTTTTGCATTTCCTTACTTCCCTCCTCATCCCAGGACCTTGTGTATAGTCAACAAGTGCCTCTCATACTTTTAAGTGACCAAATTAATTAAACTTATTTCCAATATAAATGCAGTGCCAGAGAAAAAAAAAAGGTTTGTGTTCCACTTACCAGGAAAAGTACTATCTTCTGGATTCATTGAAGCATTAATGCTTCTTTTTAGGAGGTGATAAACATTTGCTGCTGTTAAATCTGAAAAAGAAAAGGCAAACTAACTTGGCTGGAGTTACATAGTCTAGGCCTCTTCCAACTTCACCACCAGAGACACTCCGGAAAAACATGTACATAAAAGAGCTACACACAGAGAATGCAAACAGAAAACCCAAAAGGCTCCCAGTTTATACATGCTAGCCAGGTAAATACTCCAAAACTCTCCCTAAAGAATACTTTTAAGCAGAGAAGGGAAACTCTCACAATACTCTATACAAAACCACATACATTGTCTCAAGATGCCTGTTTAATCAAAACAAACAAATAAAATGCAACGTGGATTATAGACAGAAACACCAAAGAGGAGTGCATTTTCAACCAGTCACAATTGTTTTAAATTCACCATTTTTTTAAAGCTTAGTTTATATGTAGGATATCTCCTCCCATTAGGAATCTCGGAGAGAAAGACCCTTTCCCGTCTTGTTCCTTTCTGTATTACCTGCATTTGGAACATATAGTTGGCGGGATCGCCTACTGAATGCATGTATTTCCAACAAGACACTCTATTCCGAAAGCACAGAGAATTATTCAGTTAAATTTTTACTGTGCCAAGAACTTCTGAGCGCTGGTATTGTGCATCCACAAACGTGTCCCTATTTCTCCACGAAGATAATGACATTTTTCAGCCCTTATTGGGCCGATCTCATGGAGTCTCAGATTCTCGGGACAATTCGAGATAGTCCACCCTCCCTCCCCCGCACAACTTGATCACAAACTTAAATTTCTTCCCCTCCCTGAAAGCGGTTCCCGCTCTTTCTCAGCCCGGCGCTTACCCGGCTGCTTCTCGGCACCTTCCACGGACGACTCCCCGGGCCCATGATCCACTTGCCCACCCGCTGCTGACGGGACTTTCCCTTCGCCCCAGATCACAAGGAGCAGGTACCGATCCATCTCCTCAGAGCCGGGCTCCTATTTCAGATCTCGGTTGTCCCATCCAAATAGTCGCGCGCTGCTTATGCACTTCCGGTTTCCTTCCCCCCCAAATAGAGGTCGGCTGGAAATTGTGCGCGCTCGGTCGGGCTGCCTCAACTTTTCCAGGCGTCGGGTTCTTTGGAGGAGTTATTCTCTCGATGACTGCATTATTTCCTCCTATCAGGACGAAACTGCTATCATGGGAAGGCGGGAGGAGACCCAGGAAAAGCAGAGAAACTGACGACGTCGGCTGGCCTAGGAACTGTCATACTTGCGTTTGTATGTTTCCCGCGGGGCCATTAGTGCTGAGGCCTGGCCGTGGGTCCTCGGAAGAGGACGCTCCTGCGAGCGGTGAAAATGTCGAGTTTCTCTAGGGCGCCCCAGGTGAGCTCCAACTCTGTGGCTTGATGCAATTGATTACACTGGCAGAAGGAAGTCGGTGGCTTCGGTGGATTTAGTGGTGCTGAGTGGGCAGGAAAGTGGAGTTCCTCGGCCGGGAGATGCCTCGGGGAAGCACTTAATGACAATCGTGCTTCTGGCCGCTTGCTACTCTTTTGGTACTCATCTCCTGCTCTTTTCAGTCAGCTCTTTTCATGTCTTTTTTTCCTGAAAGAGTTTTCGGAGAGAGGGTCAAGTTGGATCAGATAGGCCATTGTAGACCATTGTAAGAATTTGCTTATTACTGAATAAATGAGGATCTACTGAAGGGTTTGGAGCCAGGGAGTAACATTGATCTCACTTAAGGGTGTTAAAAGCAGCTCTCTGGCAGCTGAATTAAGTAAGAAAACACTGTTTAGAGATGGGGTTTGATGCAAGATATAAACAAAGAACCGGTGTAGAGGTTTAACTGCAGTAATCCAGGCTAAACACGATGGTGGCACAAACCGAACTAGACAGCGTAGTGTTGAAAAGTGGTTAGGTTTTGTTTGAAGGTGGAGTCAAAAGGATTTCCTGAATGATTGAACGTGAGCTGACCAGGAAAGAACAAGGATTACTCCAAGGTTTTTGTTTCTGACACCAGAAGGGTGTGCCATCGACTGAGATAGGGAAGACTGGCATTGAAGCAGGTTTCAGGTGGAAGAGCGGGAGTTCAGTTTTGGGTATTTTGACCTGAGATGCTACTTAGCCCAGTCCTGCTCCGAGAATGATTCTTTCCTTGAACTGTTTGTTACCTCTCCTGGCTGAAGCAAATATAAGGAGTAAAAAATTAAACATTTAAAAACCTTTATAGCAATTTGATGATATGGCAGTATTTTAATTGTTTTTTTAACAAAGTTTGGGGGTTTTTTAATCAAAATATTCATCTGCAATGGAATGGGAACAAATCAGTCTTTACGACAGATGGTTTAAAAAGCAATGTAGTGCAGGTTCCAAGTGGACAATTGGATACAAGTGTGAAGTTCAGGAAAGAGGTCAAGGCTAGAGATGTAAATTTCTACAGTTGGGAGACATAAGCATAGAAATGACATGTAAACATATCAGTCTGGATGATGTCTTTGAGGAAGTGTGTATAGACTGGAGAGGAGGACCAAGAACGGAATTCTGGAACATTTCAACATTTCAGTGGCAAGGGTTAAGACGAAAACAGCAAAGTAGGGAAAAAACCAACAGAGGGTGGTGTCTTGGAAATCGAGTGAGGAAAGAACATCCAGGAGAAGGAAATGATCACCTGTATTGAAGACTTAGAACTGACCAAGGGATTCAGTGATGTGAAGGTCCTGGTAACTTTGACAGGCAGTAGAGAGAGGGTGATGGGTGTGGGGGGAAAAAGTTGGAGCAGGTTGAAGTGAGAATAAGGACAAATTTGAGTAAAGACAACTCTTTGGAAGAATTTTGCCACAAAGGAGGCAGTGCATAAGTGAGGTAGAGAGGGTTTGTTTTTAACTTTATTATGGAGAATTTCAATCCTATATAAAAGAAGCTGCAGCCCACTTTCAAAAACTTCATAGCCAATATGTTTTCATCTGTACACCCCCCATTCACTCCTTTCCCTTTCTTATGAATTTGAGGTGAACCTCGGATTCCTATTATCTCACAAGGAAATATTTCAGAATGTTCTTTATAAGGATTCTTTTTGAAACTATAATCCCAATACCATTTATCAAAGACAAAAGAAAAATTAATCACGATTCATTAGTATCAAATACCTAGGATATGTTCAAATTCCCAATTTTCTAATATATGTTACAGAAATACATAATAGTTTTACTGTTTGTTCCTTTGGTTTAAGATCTGGAATGTAATAATTTCATGTTCTTTAGTTTTAGTAAATAGATTCTTTTCCCTATTTTTTTCCTTAGCAATTTATTGAAGACAAAAGATTGTCCAATAGAGTTCCGCCTGTTTGAATTTTTTTTTTTTAATTAGTCATAAGCTGAGAGTAGTAGGGAAAAGGTATGGGCTAGAGGCTGGCTTTATTTATGGAAGACTGATTGTCTATGCGTAAAATCAAATGGAATCTCAGAAAAGCTTCTAAAACTGATAAGTAAGTTTAGCAAGATTGCAGGGTACGAGACCAACATGCAAAAAATGAAGTGTATTTCTATATGCTAGCAACGGACAGAAATTTAAATTAAAAATACAATACTGTTTACAATAGCATCAAAATATGTGAAATACTTAAGAGAGAAATCTGACAAAAGATGCGAGAGGAGAACAAGATAGAAGCTAGATCAGTGAGAAAGGAAAAAAAATGGTGAGCAGTTTAGAAGCTGATATGAAGTTTGTATTAATAAAATTTAAAATAAAACCAATTAGCCTGGTTGTATTTTTTCCAGCATTGTTTAGCAACCTGTGTTATGCATAGAGAAAGCATCGGGTTGAGATCTTTCTGGGCTGGAATTTTCTGAGAGTTTGAAGGTACTGATAGATATTGTAAAGACAATGGCGTATGCCTGAGCCAGCCTAAAGATGTCTGTGTAAGACAGCTATGTAAAATTTAAGTTTATTCGGTATCATCCGTGTATACTTGTCTAGCTATATTCTGTTACTTAGCTCTTGCATGGAATTGAACTCATGAATAGTTTTCAGTTCCCAATTAGCTACTCATCGTTCAATTTAATACATATTAGTCTCAAAAAGTATTTTTGAAGACCCTTATAAACAGCTTCTACTTTCATAAGAATTTCCCATTACATTTCCAGATTCTATTCTGTATACCAGAAATTGTTATAATATAAAGGAAGGGGCGCCTGGGTGGCTCAGTCGGTTAAGCGTCCCGACTTCGGCTCAGGTCATGATCTCACAATTCGTGGGGTCGAGCCCCGAGTCAGGCTCTGTGCTGACAGCTAGCTCAGAACCTGGAGCCTGCTTCAGATTCTGTGTCTCCCTCTCTCCCTGACCCTCCCCTGCTCACATTGTCTGTCTCTTTCTCTTTCTCTCAGAAATAAAACATTAAAAAAAAATTTTTTTTAAATAATATAAAGGAAAATATATCCTTGAAATGTTTTAAATAAAGTATCATGCATACTGCTGATAGGAAGGCAGGTAAGAAAAATTACTGTGTTAATCTTTGTAGAATGAAAAAGGACTCTCCTTTTCCAGAAATAGAAATGAAAACAAAACCAAAAAAAGTATTTCATGACAGGATCTTTTTTCAAGGTAATTATTGATATTAACGGTACAATATACATGATGATATATAATAATCTCAATTATTTCCATTTTAATTAGAACTTCATTGTTTTCTCTCTGTCTCTTTTTTTCCAAGCAATGGGCCACTTTTGCTCGGGTTTGGTATCTCTTAGATGGGAAAATGCAGCCCCCTGGCAAATTAGCAGCTATCGCATCAATTAAACTTCAAGGATTGCATAAACCTGTATACCATCAACTGAGTGAGTATCATTTTAGATCTGTCATGAGTAACCATAATTTTCATGCCAGAATAGAATGTTGAAGAAGTCTACTTCTAAGCACCTCTTTTCTTCCTTGGGATCCCTTGATCCATTCTTATAAAAAACCTACTAGGGCACTGAAATGAATTTGGTTTATTCACAGGAAAACCATACAGACCAGTTTGCCTGAGATAGCTCCACTGTATGTTGTTACCCCAGCAAAAATCTCAGTAGCCTTCCTTTCACTCGCGTATATCCTGACTGGGACTGTAATCAAATGTTCCTTCTTACATGTGTCTCTTCACATGGCAATGAGCATGTGAATAGGGAATGTTCGAAACTGAAAAAATAAGTTTGTCTTTTCTTCTACGAACCTTTTCCCCTAGAAAGATGGATAGAGCTAGCTGGCCATGCCAAGTTTACTCTTTACTGTTTTGAATTGATAGATTTGATTTTCTGTAACCTTTTCCCAAAGCAAAAGAAAAAAGTTGTTTTGATACTAAATGTCTTCTGCATATTGTAGGTAGTTCCCATGGACTTCACTTACCTAGCACTGTAGTGCAACCCAACAAGATCTCGGTCAGCAATAGTTTATGCAGCTGATCCTAGTGTTAACTTTTTGAAACATGAAATACACAAAGATATATATACAGTATGTCGATACAGTATGTAGACAAATCTATTTTTATTTTTATTTTTTTATTTTTTTTTAATGTTTTTTATTTATTTCTAGGCGAGAGAGAGAGACAGCGTGAGCAGGGGAGGGTCAGAAAAAGAGGGAGTGACAGACTCCGAAATAGGCTCCAGGCTCTGAGCTGGCAGTCAGCACAGAGCCCGACGCGGGGCTCGAACCCACGAACCGCGAGATCATGACCTAAGCGAAAGTCAGACGCTTAACCGACTAAGCCACCCAGGCGCCCCAAGACAAATCTATTTTTAAACATAGGTAATATTTTAAAGAAAATTAACAGTTACAATGATGATGAAATAAATACCCATACATTCAACATTTGGGTTATTTCCAATTTTTTTGGCCACACAAACAATATTCCTATTGGTGTTCTTGTACCTTTTTTGCAGGACGCATGTGGAAGAGTTTCTCCCAGTCTGCCTATAGGACAGGAATTACTGGGTTAAAAGGCACATGGGACACTAGGTAGTCTTTATGCTAATATCTTCTCCTGCCAGAGGTTCTATAACATTTGATGTTTTCATTCTTTTTAAGTTTAACCACTCTCATAAATGTGGAATATATTCTCTTGGTGGTTTTAATTTTCATTTTCCTGCTTGCAAACGGAGTGAAGTATCTTTTCACTATTTAATGGCCTTTTATCATTTCTTCTTCTGTAAAATACCTGGGTGTGTCTTTTGCCCATATTTCCACTGAGTTATTTGTCCTCTACATTTTTCTAACTTTTATTGTAGAAATTTTCACATTTTCAGAGAAGCTCAAGGAATAGTAAGTGAATTTACACCCTCTACCTAGATTATACAATCATTAACATTTTAACATATAATTTTAATGTATAATTTAACATGTAATTTTTTTACTCAGTCATTCGAAAATACATTGCAGATGTCTTAATAAATCCCTCTGAAATCTTCAGCACATGTCTCCTAAGAATAAGTATATTCCCGTATGTAACCAAAATGCCGTTATCATACATAACAAAATAGACATGATTTAATTGTACAGTTTAATGTCCAGTGCATTTTCACATTTCCCTAGTAGTTTTTTATAGCTGTTACTTTTTTAAAACCACAACCTGACCAAGGTTTATGTATTATTGCCTTTAATTGTTATGTTCCTTTAGTCCTTTTTAAATACAGAATATTCCTTCTCTTTTATTTTTTCTTGCCATTAACCTTTTGAGGAGTCCAGGGTAGTTTTCATGTAAAGAGCTTTCTTCTTAAACACATTCTTTACTTGTTCTTGGATGCATTCTGTTGCTAACTTCTCCTTCCCAGTCCCCTTTGTGCTTTTCAACTTTCCGAACTCCCAATATTCTCTCGTTAAAAATTAGGAAGGCGGGGGCGGGAGGCGCCTGGGTGGCTTAGTCGGTTAAGCGTCCGACTTTCGCTTAGGTCATGATCTCGCGATTCGTGGGTTCAAGCCCCACGTCGGGCTCTGTGCTGACTGCCAGCTCAGAGCCTGGAGCCTGTTTCAGTCTGTGACTCCCTCTTTCTCTGACCCTCCCCTGCTCACGCTGTCTCTCTCTCTCTCTCCTAGAAATAAATAAAAAAAAATTTAAAAAAAATTAGGAAGGGGGGGCCTGCAGAGGACACCTGAGTGGCTTAGTCTGTTAAGCATCTGGCTCTTGGTTTCAGCTCAGCTCATGATCTGATGGTTTCTGGCTTTGAGCTCATGTCGGGCCCTGAGCGGACAGTGCAGATACTACTTGGGATTCTCCCCCTCTCTCTCTGCCCCTCCTTTGCTCACTCACTCTGTGTCTCTCAAAATAAATAAATAAACTTAAAAAAAAAAATCTAACAAAAAAAATTCTCTGGTTTTTGGCAGACAAGAAGAATGTTATAGTCCTAGAATTACTAATAGAACGAATTTCTTAGGACTTTAGATATTTTGTTTAATTGCTTCATTAATATGAGAGAATTAAAATCAGAAGAATAAAATTACTTTCTCCCTGTCACTCAGCTATTTTATAGTAGAACTTGGGCCAGAACTAAGGCACTTGTTTCCTCAGATAGTAAATTACCCATTTAACATCAGTGTGGTGATTCTTAGCCACTTAAACTATGTTTTCCTGCTAATGTGTTTTTTTTTTCCTTAGCAATGCTATGAACAAGGTAATATACAAGATCTTTTAGGTTGTTTTTGTAGAAATACAAACAATACAAAATGTAGGAAAAAGTAGAATTTGTTGTAATTTCTCTCTTAAAGTAAAGCATTTATGTCTTCACTGAATTAAAGTTCTGCTTCCCTACAAGCAGGTCATTATTGCAAAAGTATTCCTTAAGTATTAATGAAAATACTCTGCTAAAACACCAGAAGAGCTTTGGTAGCTGCCTATCAGGTCATCTGTTTCTAGTAAAGGAGAATAGCTTTTCTGTGAAATTAAAAATGCACTTTTTAAAGACTGAGTTGTATTTACGTTTCACTGTATAATTTAATATGTAACTTACATCAGCAGAACTTTTTATATCCACAAGATGTCACTAAAATCAAAGCTTAAATTGCAAGCAATTTTCAACTTACAAACATGTTGTAAGTTTATTTCTAACATTCATTGATTTGATAAGCATTTATCAAGCACATATTATGTGTTCACAGTTGCTGTAATCATGTTTATTTGAAAATTGACAAGAATTTCCCAGAAAATAATACTATAAATGATGGTCCTATATCCAAGAGTAGCTATAAAAGTTACCCAATAATGTATCCAAACATACTATATGCTGTTTTTGAACTACTTTACAGGTCCAGTAGACTTTGTGAAGTAGTATAGAAAACCAGCTTCCCACTTTTAATATTATTTTTTATGGAAAATGTGGTCTGAGTCTAGCTGGAAATGATGTAAAACTAGGAAAAGCATTCTCTCCTCTTTCTAATCAGAACTGCCCTTCTGAATTTGGGACCTGGGAGCTTTTTGAACATGGTGTCACTGATAAATGAAAAGAAAGGGCACATGGTAATTTTTAGATTATCCTTACTCTTCATGAGGATTCTATTCTTTTTACTGACCACAGATTAATAAATTGAAGACATTATGAACATTTAAAAGAAGCAGAGGGGCACCTGAGCGGCTCAGTCAGTTAAGTGTTTGACTCCCAATTTGGGCTCAGATCATGATCTCACGGCTGGTGGGATTGAGTCACACGGCAAGCTGTGGAGCCTGCATAGGACTCTCTCCTCCCTGCCCCTCCCCTTCTTGCTCTCTCTCTCAAAATAAACATTTTAAATACATACATACATATATACATACATACATACATACATAAAGAAGCAGAGAGAAATGCTTTCTTTAGCATTTTCTAAAGTTATTGTTAGATTATCCTAAAATGCTACTGGTCTACATGAAAGAAAACAAAAGTTGCACACAATTCTTAAAGTTAATGTTGTGAACTGTAGCACACCAGGCAGTTCAACAAAGATTGTATCTAATCTCTAACATTCTGCCTTATTTATTTCTGTCTTTTAAAGACTTGTTAGGAAGAAAAAAGTTTAGGATTCTCTTTTTAAAGTTACCAAGCTAACACATTTTTCTCTTTTACTATCCAGTGTCAATTTATTTCAATTGTAAATTGCTCTATCATTTTAATTTTGCAATTTTAATTGCACATTTATTCTTCAACTTCTAGAATATCATCCGTACAAAGCAGTATAGGAGAGTTTTGCTCCAGGATATATCTTGAATATTTAACTCCTTTAAAAGTGAATATTTAGATATTATCAATAAATTTGAACAACATACCTTGTTCCTGTCACAGTGTCTTTATACTCAGTAGATTTTGTGGTAACCTATGTGATCGTCTGTTATATTAGCTATGCACAAGTTCAGGGATGCCAAAAATAACACTGAAGAGGGACATTTATCTCTAAAGGTTGGAAACAAACATAATGGCCAAAGACAATTATGTTATTTATCACTAAATTGAAATAACTATTTTTCAAACATTTCTCGAACCAAATCTTATAAGGCAATCCAGTATATAAAAGCAGTGCTGTGCTGATTGAAAGAGGGAGAAGATGCTGGGCCCTTGCCCCTTTGAGTCACCTTCTCAGAACCTGACATCTCTATCAAATATGCTTTTAAAACCAGTAAGCTAAAGCAAAGAACTTTTAAAGAGGGATTTGACACTGTGGAGCAGATGAAAAGACACGCTGCAGACTTAAGGGAAATATTTGCAAACCATATAGCCAACAAGAAACAAACACCTAATTAGAAAATGAGTAAAATATCATGACCAGATGGTAAACAAATGTATAAAATGATTAAACATTATTAGCCACTAGGGAAAAACAGATTAAAAACCACAATGAGACATCACCGCATATCTATCAGAATAGCTCAAATAAAGGGTGGCAACAACAAATGCTGGTGATGATGCAGAGAAACTGGATTGCGTACACATTGTTGGTAGGAATATTAAATGGTACAGCCAGTCTGGAAAAGAATATGGCAGTTTCTTATAAAACTAAACATGAGCTTGCCATATATCAATTGCACTTTTGGACCTTTGTCCCAGGGAAATTAAAACACAAAAACCTGTACTAATTAATAATACTTCTGCATTGCTCCTTATCCCCCTGTATTTATCAGCCTCTGGCATATTGTATGTTTACTTATTTGTTTATTGTCTAGCTCATTCCACTAGAATGTAGGATTTATTATGAACAGGGACTTCAGTCGCATTCATTGCTGTATTCTCAGCATCAAGAACAGTACCAGACATGAGTAAGTAGTGACCGGATAAATTGATTAATCACTGGGAAAGAACTATAAAGCAGATTTTGGAAGAGATTCCAACCAAACTTACCAGATGTCTCCATCTGAATCTACCCTCGGATAGGATCTGAGCAGCTCAGACAGTTCTGATTGATCCGATTTCTAAGATAAGAACTAGGAGTGCGTCTCCCATGAAATCTAAGAAAGGAATTGAATGCGACCCAGACATGATAGAACATTATGTAATCCTATTTACATTAATGTAAATGTAATGTAATGTAAATCCTATTTACATTAAGGTGAACACTGGGAGTTTTTTTTAACACTTACTGTAACTAGTAACTCCCTTTATATAAGAGGTCTACATTAAGAGTCTTCAGAAGGGAGCTTGTAATCTAGGTGGATGGAATAAAAGTATACAAATGATAGGACTAGATAGTTAAATCGGCATCATAAGAGATACTCAGGCATCCTTGTGGAATCAAGGGAAGTAGGTTTGGTATTAGGAAAGGCTTTATGAGAGGACTGGTATTAATTTTAGAACTTGGTATTTATGTAGAACTTAAATTTTATGGATAAAATTTAGTAAGTGGAGATAAATCAGGAAAGTACTTCTACTGGAAGGAACAAAGAAAAGATTAGGGGATCTGTGTATACAATCTTCTGTATGTATGTGTGTGTGTGTTTTCAACAGAAATAATGGGATAATGCTTCAGAGAATAGCAAGTATAACAAGTAGTATGGCTCACCCAGTATATACTTTGGTACGGGAAAGAACTGGTAAATAAGGCTAGAAAGTTTGAACCTAAACTGTACGTATCCTTAAATACCTTACCTGGGGAGTTGGTGTGTGGTGAAGTACAAAGGTGACAAATAACTTTAACCTAGGATTGGTATGTTAAGAAGGATTTCTGAACTTTCCTCAGAACCTAGTAGAAAAGGGTGCATGATCAATTACTGACTGATATCCCTGCCTCCAGAATGAATGTTATTTCTCTTCCTCCCAAGGAATTTTAAGGAAAAAATATGAGTTCCTGCTTAGGGGAGAAAATGAGCCAAAACATTGAAGCCATAGGACTGAGAAGCACCCCTGACAGTGTAACTCATCATGAGAACTTCACTTCCCTGACATGAAACTTTTGAGTTTCCACTTTGATTGAATTTGTCTGAACTTATTTGGCACCTAATTTTATTCATCCATTCATTCATTCATTCACTCATGCACACCTGCGTACACACACACACACACACACACACACTCACACACCAAATATTATAAAAGAGTCAAATAAGGTTACAAATCTAAGGTGAGGGTTTTTACAGATACACTCACAATTCCTTTTTCTAAAAATTACTGCGTGGGCACCTCAGTGGCTCAGTCAGCTAAGTGTCTGGCTTCGGCTCAGGTCATGATCTTACGGTTCATGGGTTCAAGCCCCACATCAGGCTCTGTGCTGACAGCTAGCTCAGAGCCTGGAGCCTGCTTCAAATTCTGTGTCTCCCTCTCTCTCTGACCCTCCCCTGCTCATGCTCTCTCTCTCTCTCTCAGTAATAAATAAAACATTAAAAAAATTTTTTAAATAAAAAATTAAAAAATAAATAAAAATTATTGCTTTAGTTTTTTTAATCTGAAATTAATTTCTTTTGGAACATCTCTTCATCAGTAGAGTTCTAATTTACACACATTTGATGCATATTATAAAGCATAATTGTTTAATTAAAACTTAACAGTGAAATCTATTGTACATAGAAATTGAGACAAATAACTGTAGTATATTCAGGATTTCAGCCTTTAGCAATATTGGCTTTTGTTTTAATATGTAATGCAGTTAAAAACAAATATTTAATTCCTGGTTACCCTATTTAGAGTTAGAGAAGTTCTTCTAGAATATATTAATAGAGACCTGGTATAAGTTACTGAGGGAAAATAATCTTTCCCAGATTAGATGTTCATACCTTACAGATTAAAGAATGTGATTTTCATCTGATCTGTGGTATTCTTTTGAATGTCCTTTGAAAGATCCTTTTGATCTCTATAAAAGAGAGTTGATTTGTTTGGAATAGCTCAAGATGCTTTTTGCTTGTTTATTTGTTTGTTTGTTTTAAGTATGTAGACAGAGACAGAGAGTTGGGGAGTAGCAGAGAGGGAGAGAACCTGGAGCAGGCTCTGCACCGTCAGCACTGAACCTGATGCAGGGCCCGAGTTTACAAACCATAAGATCATAACCTGAGCTGAAATCTAGGGACGCTTAACGGACTGAGCCACCCAGGCATCCTGGTTTTTGCATATTTAAAGCTTAAATAACATTTAAAAAATAAGTCATCTCTTGTGTAAAGTTAAGGATTCCATTTTTCCTCAGCATAAGTGTCACGGAAAGAGCCTGAACCGGGTATTAAATAACGTGGCTTTGGGAAATCACTTAATCTTAGCAGGCCCTGGCGTCTTCAACTGTAAATGTCTGGTTGAAAAACTAAGGTAACTTCAGCATTCTCTGAGATGATATCGATATCTTCTCACCCTCTTTATTTTCCTGGTTCATTTGCCCAATTGCCTTACTAGCCCACTGTGGGTTACTTTTAGGAACTTTAGTGAATTTGCCAAATACAATCAAACTGTCTTTTCAACCCACTGACAGCAAAGCTTCCCAGGTAAAGCTTTCCTTTACACTTCTAGATTCCCTTTCACTGTGGTAAAGAAAACTTGCCTGTTTTATTCTCTTTCCTTTACCCTCATTCCGTGTAGACTATGTACTTCTCTCAGGAAATGCTGTCACTGAAATTCAAAGCTCTGCATAGAATTTTATAATGTAATTGTTAGTTTTCATAGGTGATATTTATTTATACTTATTTTTTCAGTGTTTTTTTAAATAAATAAACTTCTAAAATCTTCTTAAGTTTTTGTATTAGTAGAATAGGCATTAAAAAATAGTTTTGCCTATTTGATTTTGTGATGTATAGTGACTCATGTGAAAACTGCATGTTGACTTTTTAGGGTTTTTGGGGGTTTTTCAGATGAACAGACAGATTTAGGGGGTACTTTTCACTGGAAAACTAATCTAATACATATATTTTAATTTTCAGGTCATCTGTCATATCAAATAAACATGCTGCCGTAATTGAAACTGGCAGTTTAAATGTAGCTAGTTAAATGTGGTTGGAAAAAGCCTTGGGTTGGTAGTTAAACATAAGATCATAGTACTCTATTGTTCTCCAAATTTGAGAAGAAAAATCAATTTTGATATTTTACATTTGTTTTCAATTTGCCTATTGGTAAAAAATACCTTTTATATCTATATGTGTATTATTTTCATTTTCTATTTTAAGGGAAAATTTATATTAGATACTTAAATGTATATTAATATAAACCTTTTAGCAAAATGTTTATTAATGGGAAAAGACCATAGGAATAAGAGTAGTTTGCCTTTAAAGGATGTGTTGTTGGCATCTTCAATATATTCTCTTTTGTCTTTGGTGTTGAGATTTTCCAAATGTCTGGCCAACTCTCCCTCTTTCTGTATTCAGATGTTGTGTAAAAGAGGAAGACAATAGCAAAATCCTGTTCAAGGATTTTGGTGTTGTACTGTGACTTGCTTTATATTTTTTAATGTGTTGTTTTTAGACTTTGAAAAGCTTTATGAATAACCAAGACCACTTTTTCTTAAAATCATGACTTTCATATAAAATCTTTTCTTCTTTGTTCTTTTTAAATCTAGGTGACTGTGGGGATCATGTTGTCATAATGAACACAAGGCACATTGCATTTTCTGGAAATAAATGGGAACAAAAAGTGTACTCCTCACATACTGGGTAAGATAATGCCATTATCCAACAGACATATGAAAAGATGCTAACATAACTAACCATCAAGGAAATGGAAATCAAAACCACAATGAGATATTGCCTTACATCTGTCAGCGTGGCCAGAATCGAGAAAACATTTAATAACAAGTATTGGTGATAATGTGAAAAAGGAACCTTCATGCACTGTTGGTGGGAATGTAAATTGGTGTGGCCACTGTGGAAAACAGTGTGGAGGTTCCATAAAAAATTAAAAATAGAAATACTGTATGATCCAGTAGTTCCACTACTAGGTTATTACCCAAAGAAAACAAAAATACTAATTTGTAAAGATATATATACCTCTGTATTTATTACAGCATTATTTATAACAGCCAGGATAGAGAAGCAAACCGTGTCCATGGATACACGAATGGATAATGATGTACATGTGTGCGTGGGCACTGGAATATTACCCAGCCATAAAAAAATGATGCAAACTGCCCATTTGCAACAACATGGATGGACCTAGAGTGTATAGTGCTAAGTGAAATGTGTCAGACAGAGAAAGACAAAACACCATATGCTTTCATTTATATGTGGAATCTAAAAAAACAAATGAACACACAAAAAAGCAGAATTAGGACTTATAAATACAGAGAACAAATTGATAGTTGCCAGAGAGGATGAGTGGAAGGGATGGGTGAGAGGGAGTGGGATATACAGGCTTTCAGTTATGAAATGAATAGGTCACCGGGATAAAAGGTACAGCATAGAGAATATAGTCACTGGTGTTATAATAGCCTTGTATGGTGACAGAAGGTAGCTATGCTTGTGGTGAGCATAGCATAACACAGAATTGTTGAATCATTAAGTTGTACACTTTAATGTAACATCAAGTATCTACTACTCAAAAAAAATGATAATGCCATTGTCAAGGAAGATAGGCAGTTGAAATATATTACTTTAAAAATACTCTTGGGGTGCCTGGGTGGCCCAGTCGGTTAACCGTCCGACTTCAGCGGTTTGTGGGTTCGAGCCCCGTGTTGGTCTCTGTGCTGACAGCTAGCTCAGAGCCTGGAGCCTGCTTCAGATTCTGTATCTCCCTCTCTCTCTGACTCTCCCCTGCTCACGCTCTCTCTCTCTCTCTCTCAAAAATAAATAAAACATTAAAATATTAAGAAAATTAAAAAAAAATACTATTGGGGTGCCTGGGTGGCCCAGTTGGTTGGGCGTCTGACTTCAGCTCAGGTCGTGATCTCACGCTTCATGGGTTCGGACCCTGCATCGGGTTCTGTACTGACAGCTTGGAGCCTGTTTTGGATTGTGTGTCTCCCTCTTTCTCTCTGCCCTTCCCTGGCTCTCACTGTCTCTCTTTCTCTCTAAAATAAATAAACATTAAAAAAAAATACTATTGATCTTACTACGGGCACCTGGCTGGCTCAGTTGGAAGAGCATGCAACTCTTGACCTTGGGGCTATAAGTTCAAGCTCCACAAAAAATGTATTAAATAAGGAACCATCCCTTAAAAACAAAAAAAAACAAAAACAAACAAAAAAAGAAGAATTGATCTTACTTAAAAGAAAAAGCTATTTTCAAAAATTGGCATTTAAGGAAATACTTATTTTGTACATGCTGCATATATAATTTACTCAAATCAAAAATAACCCTCAGAACTATTCCAAATAGTAGTTATTATTGACAGTATTTGTTTTTTTAGAGGCTATTCACATAACCTCTCTGATCTAGGTTATTCTAATTTTAAATCAGTCTTCTCATTTATTTCTATTTCCTATAATTCATGTTACTGCTGTTTCTTGAACTATCTTGAACATCTGAAAATACATGAGATGTTTAAGAAATGGTGAGCAAAATCCCAAGTTTGGAAGATACCTAAAATCTCCACAACATACCTTTCAAGATCCAGGTCTCTCTTCCTATGTTTGAATAATAGCAATCTCATGGCTTGTAAAAGCAGCCTATTCATTCCATCTTTGAAATGGTTTAAATTTTAGAAAAATCTTTATGCTATTGAATCATAATCTGTTTTTCTTTAGCTTTCATATTCATCTTAGTTCTCCTCTTTGGACAATGTAAAATAATCATATCTCTCCACATGACATCCTTCAGATAATTTTGAGGCAGGGATCAATAAGAGCCCATTGATTTGTCTTTCCTCTAAGCTAAACATCTGTAGTTACTTAAAATTCTTTATATAGCTTCCCGTTGACTATCCCCTTTATATCTTGGTCACTCTCTAGTGTGTTTCTTAACTAGACACACTCACCTGCCTATGTTCTGATGGCTTCCTAGTATAATGGGAGTCCTCCAGCTTTCAGTTATAGAATCCTCTATTGGTTGGTACCCTAAGTTCACTGTCAGCTAAAACTCCCAAGTCTTTCTTAAACATGCTGGTGTTCAACCATGTTGTAACCCATTTTAACCCAACTACAATACCTTAGGTTAAATTTTATCTCCAGCCTTTTAAAATCTTTTGAGATCTTGGGGCGCCTGGGTGGCTCAGTTTGTTAGGCATCCGACTTCGGCTCAGGTCATGATCTCACAGTTTGTGGGTTCGAGCCCCGTGTCAAGCTCTGTGCTGACAGCTAGCTCAGAGCCTGGAGCCTGTTTCAGATTCTGTGTCTCCCTCTTTCTCTGACCCTCCCCTGCTCAGGCTGTCTCTCTCTCTCACAAAAAAAAAAAAAAAAAAAACAAAAAAAAAAAAAAAGGAGTCATTTAAAAATAAAATAAAATAAAATAAAATATTTTGAGATCTTGATTATGTCATGCAATGTGTTAACCCCTCTGCTCCAGGTCATATACAGATTTAATTAAGCATACCTCCTATACTGAACTTTCATTCTTGATTAAAATTATTTATTTCCAATTGCACCTTCATCTTAGAGACTTTAAAGTCTCATCTGTTTCCTTTCATCTCTTGACTAAGTAGGTCAATCTTAAATGCTGAGGATAACTTTTTTTAAGATTTTATTTTATTTTTTAAATGTTTATTTTTGAGAGAGAGAGCACATAAAAGCAGGGGAGGGGCAGAGAGAAAGGAAGACAGAGGAGCCGAAGTGGACTCTGTGCTGACAGCAGACAGTGGGGCTTGAATTCACAAACCATGAGATCATGCCCTGAGTCAAAGTCAGACACTTTACCAACTGAGCCACCCAGGTTATCCACTCAGAATGACTTTTTTTGCTTCCATTCACCAGGCTTTGCCCATTCTCTTTAAACTTATTCATGAAATTGTTACATAACCAAAATAAATTCACATCTAGCTTCAGTAGTTTCTACAGTTAGGAAATCTCTATGATAAACTAAATTCTATAAAATTTAGAGATAATAGGGCAAGAAGTACAAAAAGTCGGGGTAACATAATGTGATAAAAGCATAAAGGGGGAAGTATTGACTCAAAATGCTATAGTAATTACTGTAGCAGTAATATCTGTGGAAAATAATAGCACCTCCAGTAGTGAACAGCTACAGGGTAATGTGCCCTTAGTGTCCCATTCAGTAGAGTTCTCCTATCAAGGGTTGAAAATCTAAACTTCTGTACATTTTCGGTACCCAGTTACCACCACTGCTTCAGAATCCTTCATTTTAGCCGACATCTTGCTATTTTTTGCCTTTCTGCCTTTGCATGTGTTGTTCTACTTCACAGAGTGTTTCTCAGGAGCTCTCTTACTGGTCCATTAGAACGTGGCTCAGACGTCACCGCTTCTTGAATGCCTTCCCTCTTGCCTGTCTTCCATGTGGTTAATCTCTGTTTTGTTTCTCTGTTTCTGTTGACTCTTCATTTCACTGGATATACCAGTTTTATTATGCTCAGAACACTATTACATTATGTATTCAAATTTTTACTTCCTAGTTATAAAAATTTTAATATATGATGATTTTAGAAAATGCAGAAGAGTTTAAAGAAGGAACTAAAAATCATTTTTCATCCTGTGGACTAAACATTTTAATACATATACAAGTTTACATCTTTTTTCACTTTATATAAAATTCTCAGAAAGCTTTTTTATAAATATTATTAGTCACTGAGATAATACAGACTATGATTTGCATATATAATGTTCTTTTTTTTAATTAAAATTTTTAGTTTCATAAAGAGCTGAAAAGCATCTTTATACAGTAGGCTTTTTCAACATATAGGATAATTTAAAATAAAACTGGAAAGTAATGAATTTCAAGATGAAAGGGATAACAATAGATCTTTTAGTGGGTATTTCCAAACATCACTTTAATTATGTGCTAGTAGTGCATAAGAATGCTTGGTTTCATAAAACCACTGACCCAGTATTGTCATTAATAATGATTTAATATTGATTGTGCTACTTTGATGAACATCTAATGGTTTACATTTGCATTGTTATAAGGTAACAATGCTTTTCTTAGCACTTTCTCTGACCATTGTATCTATTAAGAATATTAATCCACTATTATAGAGTTTACTTTTTACATATTTTCTTTATGATGTCCCTTGTTGTATAGTTATTTAACTTTTATGTAATTAAATCTCTCTTTTCCCTTATAATTTGTTCTGTGGTTTCCAGTCTCAGAAAATCTTTTCTTGTCCAAATATTTCATAAACATTCACTTCTCACTGTTTTAGAGGCCAGATGAGATGTGTATGTGTGCACCCTGACCTGTGTGTTGAGTCATATAAAGTGTATTGGTAGGAATTAGAAATATAGCTTACTGTTAGATGCCTCAGTAGATTCATGTAGTCATTTTTCTTGTGGATGGGATACTGTCATGTTTATCTGTATTTCCCCAGAACCCAGCACAGTAGGCATTCAGTAAGTATTTACTGAATTGATTTGAACTGAAAAAAAAAATTGATGAACATTTAAAACAAAGTTTCTCTTCCATTCAGGCTATCCCACACTGGAAAAAGAAGTGTAGTCAGTTTTTCACCAGTAAAAATCAACTGAGTATTTATTACATTATTCAAGTCTTTCCTCTACTCAGAGTTTTATTCCACCTTTCCAGATTCTTCAGCATAAAGTCCAAACTCATGAAATAAAATGTAAATGGTATTATACTTTAGAACTTGGCATCTTAATGTTAAAACAGAAAGGTGATCTTTAGTGTAGAAGTTATAAAGTACTTTTTTTCCACAGAGAGAAAGAATACAGGAATTGAAGTCTAGACAGGTATTTCTTTTTCTGAAACTGAAATTCCTTGAAATAAATGAAAATATCACTTTGAAAATTACCCATCTTTCTCAGCAAACTTCTAAATCTGCTTTGTTAAATTTTATTCCTGAAATGTGGTTCTTCCAAATATTTTTAAGTCTGATTGACACTTATGAAAGGAAGGTAATCTTTAACTTGTTATACAGAGTCCACTGAGTTTGTTTTCTTTAATCCTTCCTCAAAAATCATTTAGGCTTTATGAAACTGACATGTGTATATTGTTTTTGTTTTAACATCTGGGGCATCCAAGTTACTAAGCTTCCATAAGTACTATCCCAAATAAATATATTTTAAATCTCCCATTCATCCATTTTATATATAAATTTGATAGGAACACAATATTTTCTTTCTTAAGACCAAGGTGTAGCTCTTAGTGGTCTTTTACTGACTGTTAATAGGTAACAGGATCGTTCCCTGTTTCGAGTTTGAACTGGACTTCAGAACCAAAGTGGCCACCACTGTTTTCCATAAACCTGACCCCTAGCTTATAGGACATTCTGATTGGGCAGGGTATTGAAGCATATTGGCTCATGGCTTTTTCTTTCTTAAATTCAAGCATGACAAACTACCTCAGAATGAATGAAAATGATAGTTATGCTGAGAGTTTTCCAAGATGTGCAATTTTTATGAAATAATGATAGTTGACCACTTAAAAAGAACAGCATTTCAAATAGCATCATTACTACTTAATTTTTAAGACATTAATGAACATCAGTTTCCAGAAACAAGAATAATTTAATAATAAAAATTGTTTTCATATTATAAAACTGTATTCATTTCAAGAAATAGTATATCATAGCCTACTCCCAGTTTTAATGTCTTTGCTTCTTTTAACAGCTATCCAGGTGGATTTAGACAAGTAACAGCTGCTCAACTTCACCAGAAGGATCCGGTAGCAGTAAGTTTATTGTATTTTTTATTATTTATCATCTGTGGAAAGACTGTCTCGGGAACAGTTTTTCCCATCTTGCTCCCCTTCTATTGTAGCTAGCATTCAGGGCCACATTTTCTGCACTTTACTGTATCACACAAGTTTTGATAACAATTATTTCATTACTGGGGCGACTGGGTGGCTTAGTCTGTTAAGCGGCCTACTTCAACTCAGGTCATGATCTTGCAGTTCGTGGGTTCGAGCCCCGCATCAGGTCCTGTGCTGACAGCTCAGAGCCTGGAGCCTGCTTTGGATTCTGTGTCTCCCTCTCTCTCTGCCTCTCCCCGGCTCATGTTATGTCTCTCTCTGTCTCAAAAACAAATAAACTATAAATTTTTTTTAAATAATAAAAAAATAATTATTTCATTATCGTTCAATTCTATATATTTTCTAAACACTCTGCTATGTTTTGTATTTAGCCAAACAGGTTTGTTGCTTTTCTGTTTAATAACTTGATGCTTACATGATTACCTAGAATATATTTGCTGAAAATGTCTTGGAGAGAGAGATGTATCTATGTATGATTATACCTCCATTATATCAAATATGCAAAGCACATCCCAATCAGAAAGTCTTACTTTTTTCTGTTTATTTGATTTATTGATTACCTAAAAGAGTTATGTTATGATCTCAATTTTGGATTTATTTTTTTCCCTGTATTTCTGTCAGTTTTTTCTTTGTATGTTTTGAAGATGTTGTGTTAGATGAATTTAAGTTTGGAATTATATTCTTCCTAAGAATTAATCAGGGTTATCTACCAGCTGTTTTTGTCTCCAATTATACTTTTAAACTCAAGGCCTTTTTTTTTTTTTTAAATAAACCCTACAGCCTTCTTTTGAAAGTGTTTGCCTGATAAATCATTCTACTTTAAATTTAATTTATTTCTTTTTCTGTATTACAGGTCATATTTATTGATCATTAACGTCCTCAGATTAGTACTATGCACCTTATATGATTTTTTTTTTTAAATATAACTTACTGTCAAGTTAGCTAACATACGGTGTATACAGTTGCTCTTGGCTTCAGGGGTCGATTCCTATGCTTCATTGTTTACATACAACACCCAGTGCTCATCCTAATAAGTGCCCTCCTCAGTGCTCATCACCATTTCCCCCTCCTTCCCTCTCCCCCATCAACCCTCCATTCGTTCTTTGTATTTAAGAGTCTCTTATGGTTTGCCTGCCTCTCTGAAACTATTTTTTTGCCCTTCCCTTCCCCCATGGTCTTCTGTTAAGTTTCTCAAATTCCGTATCTGTCTTTCTCTGACTGACTTATTTCACTTAGCATAATACTCTCCAGTTCAATCCACATTGTTGCAAATGTTAAAATTTCATTCTTTCTCATTGCTGAGTTGTATCATTCCACTATATATATAAACCACAAAAATCTTCTAAGGACCTTGTTTTGATCTGGAGGGAAGTAAAGATAATTGATTAAGCTTACACTTCTAATAAATAAACTCAATCAGAAAGAAGGAAAGAAAGGAAAGAAGATTTTATTTTTTCCTTTCCTTCTTTCTTGCCTTCTTTTGGATTGAGTTTATTAGAAGTCTAAGATTAATCAATCTTTACTTTCTTCGAGATCAAAATAAGGTCCTTAGAAGATTTTTAACACCTACTCTTCCTCACATAGTCATCAATTTTCAAAACCCTTCCAATTCAACATTCTTGTTACTGTGTTATACAGTTAACTGAATTTTCATGTTTTTCTTTGCTTATAAGTCCTTTTCACATAACAGCTTTCCTTTGGGATTAATTTCCTTCTTGAAACACTTCTTTTGACATTCCTATCATAACATTCTTTTAATAGTAAACTTCCTATTTTTTCTGAAACTGTCTTTATTTTTGCCTTCTTCTTGAAAGATAGTTTTACTTATGCAGTATATGCAATTCTACGGTAACCATGTTTCTCTCTCACCTGTTTGATGCTACTGTTCAAGCAGATTTTAGCTTCTGTTATTGCTAAGTTAGATGTCAGTTGAATTGTTTATATATATGTTTTTGTTTTTTTTTTTTTGGTGATACATCTGAAATCTTTCCTTTGCCTTCCATTTTCCTGTTTCTTTTCAAGTTACTTATTTTGCTTGAGGACTGGCATCTTCATAGCTGAAAATCTGTCAGCTCTTAACTGTCTGACTGAGCCACCCAGGGAGTAGCTCCCTTAGTGAGTTTCTAATTTGACTTATTTTTTTTTCTTGAAGTTTTATTACTTGTTTCTTTTTCAAATTTGCTAGTCAGTTTTGATAGCCTTTCTTTTTTCTTTGTCATACTTTGGTCCCTTATATTATTTAAGCATAGTAAACCTAGTTCTTTGTATTTGTATCTGATTTTAATATTTGTATTCTTTGTGGATCTATAATTTATTGTTTCTGCTCAGGGTGCTTGATAAGCTCATGTACCTTGAAACTTCATCACTGAGAATTCTTTGAGACCTGTGTCTTCAAAGTGGATTTCTTTACAAAAGATCAACTTAGCTTCTGGCAAGTGCATGGGGCTTTACCAACCTAAGACCTCTTTAAGCTATCCTTTAGAGTTCTGGGTTTTGATCCCAGCAATGAGTTTTAAACCTTGAGCCTTGTGCAGTAAGGCTTGTAGTTATCTGTTTCCTATCAGGAAAGATTTGAATTTTTTAATTTCCCCACTATATACCCTGGATGTGCCTTTCTGCTGAAAACCAGGGTTTACGAGAAAGTCTTTGATCCTACCTCCTGACCAAAAAGAGGTAGTCCTTTGAAATCCAAGCCCTGCACTAAGCTGATGCCCTCTGGGCAGATGCCAGCCTTAGACTCTTTTTTTTTTTTTTTTTTAAGAAAAGGTTTTTGAAAACAATATTATTAACTTTATTAATATTTACTTATGATTTATTTACTAGGAGAAATTTCTAACCTTAATATTAGCTTTCAATACTGCTAGAAGCAAAATCTCCTTTTACCATTTCACAATTTTATATTTCCTTCCTTTACTCTTTATAATCCAATCTTTGGACTATACGCATAACATAAATACCATTTTCCTCATTAGGAGCTATTTTAGCTTTTTACCCAAAGGCATTCATAAATGAACAAAGTGTTATGCTGTGAAGACATTCTTTTTTATTTCCCTACAATAGCAAATAAAAATAAATATCTATTGTTAGGATGCAACCATTTGTAATACTGCCTATTATTTTCTTGGGGTGAGGGAAAGGGGCATATTTTACTTCTTATCATTAATAGGTATTTTACAAAACCGTATCTAGAAATTGCTTAAGAAATTTTTAATGTTGTATTTCAAAATGTGTTTTTGGACTATTACAGGTCAAATAAAATATCCTATTTTGACTATTTATGTGGATGGTATATATGGTATTAAAAAGTTGTAAGGGCTGCTGACAGTATGCACCATAAGTGCTACAATAAATTGTAGTTTGGGTATTTAATAAATAGTTTTAAATTTTACTTCTGTGGTATTCTGGCATGCTCACTGTACACTAGGAGGCAATATAGTCCTACTTTTTTTTATAAGAATTTAGCATTTGTAGAAATTATTCCAAATTATGTTTTGTAAACAAATATTAAAATACATTACAAAATGTTTGATGAAGGTCTGGAAAATAGTTCAGAGTGAATTCCATTTGAATTATTATTTCATCTAAATGATGTTAGTTCTTTTTTTTGAAGTATTAATTTTAATTTTGTATTTTGAAAAAGTACAGTTTGTTAAAGAAGAGGTCAGTCATTTTACTTCCAAATTAAATACTTAAGTGTTTGCCTAGAACAGTAGAACTTGTGCCAGCAGACATCATTTGCTAATCAGCACTTGGTATATGGACTCATAAGAGACTTTGTTTTCTGATGCATCCTTCTGATTAAGAGTACAGTCCTGGAACATTATTTGTGAAACACATTAAATAGTACATTTAAATAGTTATTAGTAGGTTATTAAATATTTCAAAATATTACAATCATATGGCATTAAACTCAAATAAATATGTTGATTGGGCTTTTCCTTATCCCTACCATATATTATGGTTCCCTTAAGAGTTTTTCATCCTTATATTGTTTCCTAACATGGTTCCTTTCTTATGTTTTTACCCGTTCTGTGGTTAATAAAGTTATTTTGTGTGAAACAAATGGCACATATCCTGGTTTGCAGGTTGTATGCGGAAGGTCGTTAGTATTTATCAATCTCACTTTTACTCTGTCTCACTCTCTGAATTCCTTAGAACTTATAAATAAGTCTATACAGCTATAAATACTTGATTGCATGTACATGTTGTGTTATTATTTGGGGGAGTATATTGTTGTGTGTATGTCTTTCTCTCCCCTGTCAGCTTATAACCTTTCTACACTTTCTGGCTTTCCCTAATTGAGTGTTATGTTTGCATTTTTTAATAGGGCAAGTTTTTAAAAAAACAACTTGTTAATTCAGGTGACTATAGCTTGCTAAATTTTGTCAAGAACATGAAACCTAAATGGCATGTAACCCTACCAAAATGATAAAATTGCTGCCAGGGTGATATTCAGAGAATATGATGACTGGCTGTCCAGATAGCATGCTGCGTAATGTCAACATTGTCCGTTTCTACTTAAGACTTTTAGGGGCACCTGGGTGGCTCAGTCAGTTAAGCATCTGACTTCATCCCAGGTCATGATCTCACTGTTCATGGGTTCAAGCCCATGTAGGGCTCTGTGCTGACAGCTCAGAGCCTGGAGCTGCTTTGAATTCTGTGTTTCGCTCTCTCTCTCTGCCTCTCCCCCCTCAAAAAGAAACATTAAAAAATTTATTTTAAAAATTTAAAATTTTAAAGACTAATATCTAGATTAATGCTGTCTAACAGAAATTTATGTCATGATGGAAATGTTCTTCTGTCTGTACTGATAAATATGGTAACCACTGGCTACATGTGGCAGTTGACCACTTGAAATGTGGCTTGTGTGACTGAGTAACTGAATTTTTTATTGCTTTTAATTTTAACAATGTAACTCTCTATTAAAATCTCCAGAACATAGAGTATTAACAGCACTAAATTGGAAAATGTATATAAGATGCCATTAGCTTTTGTATGTAGTTAGGTTTTGTAGTCTGATTTGATGAGAAAATTAAAGGAATAGGAAATCTTCTTACAGTACAACCTTGTTCTATCACATATAATTTAGTGAATTAACTTTAATACATGTCAGGTTATATCCTTGGAATATGAGCACGGAGGGTAAAACTTGTTGTAACCCTTCAGATGTCCCTGTCAGCAGTGTTATGAAGACCTCACAGTGTATTTGTGCTGTATACCACAGACCCCCAGGAGGTTAAGGAACACAGAGTGACACTCTGTGGCCTTCTCTTGACAACACATACATCAAATCACATTCAGACCAACAATGAGGATAATCTTAAAAAGGGGAAAGTAAATCACGGAAGGTTAGTTTGCCCTCTTGGAAATGGGTATGGTAGAGAGAAAGGATTTTTTGTCTTCTGGAGAAGTTACAGAGAGAAACACATTATAGGTGTGATTGTATGTACCATGTGTTTATTCTGGAAGTAAGACCTCCTGGTTTGAATTCTAGCACCACTGTTTACAAGATATATGAAGTTGGGGGAGTTCTTTGACCTTACTAAATCTGTTTCCTTATCTGTGAAATGAGACTCAGCATCATAAACAAGATAACAAATATAATACAACTAACCACCGTGCACACAGTAATTTTTCAGTGAATGATAACCTTACCATTGGTGTAGACTTGTAACTTACAGAGTCAGTCTCATAACTGTATGGTTCAGGCTTACTTTATGAATCAGAAACCTCGTGATCTCCTACCTGGAGAAAACAGGATTAAGACCTCCCTGGGTTCTGCTCATTTCAGTATATAACAAGCTTGTTCAAGCTTGTTCTAGCTATAATTGGCACATACGTAGATTATTTTTAACTTCTTCTTGTCCTTTTCCTTTAATATAAGTTAAGTCAAATAGAGCCTAAAGAAAACAGTAATGTGCAAGATAATAACAATTCTTTTGCTGTTGCTGCCATATATGTATTTAGGTCTCAATTTCTTTCATTTCACTTGAGTCTGACCCCATTTGTTTTCATTACCATCTGTAAATGTGTTTGCCTTCTTATATCTCAAGTCAGATTTTTTCTTTTTTCTTATTAAATCCTATATATATCTGTTTTTCAGATTGTGAAACTAGCTATTTATGGCATGCTGCCAAAAAACCTTCACAGAAGAACTCTGATGCAGAGGTTGCATCTTTTCCCGGATGAGGTAAGTCCATGGTCATTGGTAATGGTGCTTCAACAAGGAACCATGGCCAGGGCCCCTGTTGAATTGAGGGTACTCATTGCTGATTTCATCAGCTACAAAAAAGAATGCATTTCATTTACATTTCATGTGACTAGTAGCAAAATTTGCATGAATCATGAATTAATAATTTAGGTTTTGTTGCTAATTATTTTCATTGATTTAATTTTAGAATACTTCTTCCTACTCAAAATTTATTCAGCTAAAAATGTACTTGAAAAAAAATAACGATTTTTATTTATCAATATTAAACTATTTTAAGTCCTTAAGCTTTTCTCTAGTATAATATAATGAAACACTAGAAGTTCTATTATAAAATAGTTGAATCCAAGCTCTGGAATCAGGTATCTGGATTAGAATTCATGCTGCACCATTTACTAATGTCATGGCCATGGGTGGTTACTTATTATCTGTTTTTGCATCAGTATAATGGAAATAATGGTATCTACTTTGTAAGGTTTGTGGTAAGGCTTCAATGAGATGACATTTGTGGAATGCTTAGAACAGGGCCTGACACAGTTAAGTGCTATTGCTGTCATAACCATGGTTGTGATTGTTCTCCTTACAGTTCCTACTAGATGAATAATGTGGAAATGAATTCCAGACTATCAAGTTGTATCAATGATTTAAACCACTGTGTGCTCTATTTAGTTAGCTTAAGCAATGCATGAGTAAATTATTCATGCATTCATCAAAATTATTAATGTATTACATTTGCTTTGTATGAAAGAGTAGAATATTCCAAGATTCACTTTACCTCTGAAGTAGCAAGTATGGGAGTAGTGTCACCATCTAAGGATAAATGACCCTCATGAAAGCACAATTTTTAAACTCTTAATTCTTTTTATTTTTTTTTATTTTTTTAACATTTATTCATTTTTGAAAGATGGAGAGAGACAGCATGAGTGAGGGAGAGCAGAGAGGATACAGGGAGACACACCATCCAAAGCAGGCTCTAGGCTCTGAGCTGTCAGCAAAGAGCCTGATGCGGGGCTTGAACTCACGGACCATGAGATCATGACCTGAGCAGAAGTCAGACGCTTAACCAACTGAGCCACTCAGGTGCCCTTAAAACTCCTAATTCTTTTTTTTTTTTTTTTTAATTTTTTTTTTTTTTTTTTATTTGAGAGACAGAGAACACACGCGAGCCAGGGAGAGGAGCAGAGGGAAAGAGAGAGAAAGAGAGAGAGAGAATCTCAAGCGCTCAAGCAGGTTCAAGCAGGTTCCACACTCATCATGGAACCTGACACAGGAATCAATCCAATGACCCTGGGATCATGACTGGAGCTGAAATCAAGAGTTGGCTGCCAACTGACTGAGCCACCCAGGCTCCCCTAAAACCTGTGTTTCTGGTTGTACTGTCCCATTTTTTAGAAACCATAATTTCTAAAAGACAAAATATGATATATTGATATATAATCTTAGTTATAAGGAAGTCAAGTTTGAATGTGGATACTTTAGGTATTCATGGTAGTTCAGTTGAACAACAAATTACTTAAATAATTTTAGACTATAAAATTAATGGGCCCACTTCCCCAAAATGAATTGTCAAATATTCAGAAGGTTGATAACACATTTTGTTGTTCAGGCCATAGGGAAATAGGAACTCATAGATTACTAGGAGTACAAAATAGTGCAACCCACAAGGAATCAGAGAAGTAGGTAACATCACACGAAATATATACATAAGGAAAGTCAGGCTTGATCCAGCAATCTATTTGCTCTGAAGATACACAAGATTATTGTTTCCACATTATTTATAATAGTTAAGTAATAGAAATCAGTGTTTATACAGAGGAAATTGGATAAGCTATGTTATATCCATTCAGTTGGGTACTATGCAGTTATAAAAAAAGAATTCCAAATATTCTTGTGGTTTGATAAGTAATGCTTTCTGGGATATATTGGTAAGTGAAAAATTATAGATAGTGTACTACCTTTTGTATGCATATACACATATATATGTTTACACACGCATACATACTATAACTGCTTCTTATCGTGTAAAGAAACACAGGAAGAATAAATGAGAAAATAAAGTTGGCTGCTTACTGAAGCATGGGCACAACAAGGTGAAAGGAATAGGGAAGAGAGTGAGATTTTTGGAGTATGCCTGCAGATTATTTGGTTTTTTAATTTTAATTTTGTTATCGTGTTAAGATTTTATTCAAAAATAAAATCAGAGCAGCAGTAGATGTAAGTACAACTAGTGGACAGATCTTGTTTTCTAAGTGCTATTTCTTATTAAAAGGAACCTGGTTTTCTTGGAGAAATGGTTGATTCTAGGTCTGGAGCAGAGAAACAGAGTTATTATGGAGTACACACATGCACACACAATTATTATTTCTCCATTGTTTATACTGGTAAAATAATAAGTAACAGAAAGTAAGGCAGTACTCAAAAACGGATGAGGAAATATCAAGAGAACATAGGAGACATTTTGAATTGGTGCCCACTGACCGAATGAGGGACTGTGTGAGCCTCAAAATGAATGGTTAGAATAATGGATTACATTGAATAGAAAACAGTAATCTGTGAGCCAAAGATGAAGTCCAAAAATCATTTTTAACTTGTTGTAATTTCCCTTTTCCTTTCTGGAGAAGGAAAAGCTTTTCTTTAGAGTAGAATGTCACCCAAAAATGTAGAAATAATACCAAATTAGAAAACCCACCATTATCAGCGTATTTTATAGTCACTGGGTAAAAAATTATTGTAGAACAAGATACTCACACAATTTCAAAACATCAGGCCACAGCATACTTACTGTTTGAAAGAAGAAAAGTTACTTTTTTATGTTAAAGATAGCTGGCAGACACAACAGTCCCCAGTGACCAAGCGTTAACTTTAATATGGAGCAGCCAGCATCATGTACCTCCTGCTGTGCATGAGGAACTGAAGACCCAACGCGAACTGTGTAGCTTTCTGCCAGAAATGTTAACCGGAGTCTAATCATAAGCAAACAATGCTACAAATCCAAATTAAAGGACATTCTACAACGTACTTGGCCTGAGCTCTTCAAAAGTGTTAATTTCATGAAAGAAAAACCAGGGAAAGTCTTTGTATTAAAAGAGACTAGGCTGAAGAATTCATGATGTATGTCCAACAACACAGTAATAGCATAAATAACTAAGTATAGCATGTGACCCTTGACTGGATCTTAGATTGAAAAACAGATACATAAGACAATATTTGATCAGTTTGGGAAATTTGGATATACACTTATATGTCAGATAGAAAGTATTTCATCTATGTTAATTTTCCTAAGCATGAATTTGTAACGTGGTGATAGAGGAGACAATCCTTATATTTAGGAAGTAGACACTGAAATATTTGGGGGTGAAATATTGGTAAATTACTCTCAAATGGTTCAGCCAAAAAGAAAATTTGTGTATATGTGTTTGTATATAGGTGAAAAGAAGGAAAGCAAACATGTCCTATTTTGACAATTGGTGAATTCAGGTGAAGGTTAAATAAGTGTTCACTGTATTCTCACAACTGTATTCTCAAATCTTTTCTATAGATTTGAAATTTCTTTAAAAATTGAAAAAACGTAATAAAGTAAATTATCACCTTGCCCCTTATTTATTCCACTCATTCGTTTCCTTATTTCTTATTTAGGTTAATCATTCCATCTGTGTAGAGGACTCTTAAATCTTTTTCTTTTTTTTTCCCCTTAAATAGTTTATTATCAAGTTGGTTTTCATATAACACCTAGTGCTCATCCCCACAAGTACCCTCCTCCATGACCATCACCCCCCTTCCCCTCTCCCCCACCCCCATCAGCCCTCAGTTCTCAGCATTCAAGAGTCTCTCATGGTTTGCCTCCCTCTCTCTCCCCAACTATTTTTCCCCTTCTTCTCCCTCACAGTCCTCCATTAAATTCCTCCTAATCCACCTATATGTGCAAACATATGGTATCTGTCCTTCTCTGCCTGACTTATTTCACTCAGCATAACACCCTCAAGTTCCATCCATGTTACTACACATGGCCAGATTTCATTCTTTCTCATTGCCATGTAGTATTCCATTGTATAAATATACCACATCTTCTTGATCCATTCATTGGTTGATGGACACTTAGGCTCTTCCCATGTTTTGGCTATTGTTGAGAGTGCTGCTATGAACACTGGGGTACATGTGCCCCTATGCATCAGCACTCCTGTGTCCCTTGGGTAAATTCCTGGCAGGGCTATTGCTGGGTCATAGGGGAGTTCTATGGTTAATTTTTTGAGGAACCTCCACACTGTTTTCCAGAAGGACTATACCAGTTTGTTTACATTCCCACCAACAGTGTAGGAAGGTGCCCATTTCTCCACATCCTCGCCAGCATCTGGAGTCTCCTGATTTGTTCATTTTAGCCACTCTGATGGGCATGAGATGGTATCTCAGTATGGTTTTGATTTGTATTTCCTTGATGATGAGGGACGCTAAGCATCGTTTCATGTGTCTGTTGGCCATCTGGATGTCCTCTTTGGAGAAGTGTCTGTTCATGTCTTCTGCCCATATCTTCACTGGATTATTTGTTTTTCAGGTGTGGAGTTTGGTGAGTTCCTTATAGATTTTGGATACTAGCCCTTTATCTGACATGTCATTTGCAACTATCTTTTCCCATTTCGTCGGCTGCCTAGTAGTTTTATTGACTGTTTCCCTTGCTGTGCAGAAGCTTTTTATCTTGATGAGGTCCCAGTAGTTCATTTTTGCTCTTGATTCCCTTGCCTTTGGGGATGTGTCAAGTAAGAAATTGCTGCGGTTGAGGTCAAGAAGGTTTTTTTCCTTCTTTCTCTTCTAGGGTTTTGATGATTTCCTGTCTCACATTCAGGTCCTTTATCCATTTTGAGTGTATTTTTGTGTATGGTGTGAGAAAATGATCTCGTTTCATTCTTCTGCATGTTGTTGTCCAGTTCTCCCAGCACCATCTGTTAAAGAGGCTGTCTTTTTTCCATTGGATACTCACTCTTTCCTGCTTTGTCAGAGATTAGTAGGCCATACATTTGTGGGTCCAATTCTGAGTTCTCTATTCTATTTCATTGGTCTGTGTGTCTGTTTTTGTGCCAAGAGGGCTCTTAAATCTTAAACACATCAGTTAGCATGTTTGCGTTACCTTCTGTGTGTGCAGGTTAAAGGAGGGACTTTCCCTCTTGCAGGTCTCATGTGTAATGCCTAATCATCAAGTCTCCTTCCTCACCCTGCACTGTTTCAATGCCTCCTTTCAGTAAATTACTCTAATAGCGGGGAAAGCTTGTAAGTTCGTTTTAGTCAATATTTTCTCCAATTCAGCAAACGTTTACTAACCCACGGCGTTCCACACCCTCTGCTGTGTAAGCACTTGGCAACTTTTGAAATTGTCTTTGCAAATATTATAGGGATTTTTTTAATGGAGTGTGAAATACCCATAAATTTTATAAATATCAAACTGGCAAGAAGACTTTTTCAGGAAGTAAAAAATTAGAGCAGTGTTATATTTATATGTCCAGGCATCCTCAGTTTTGTGTAATTAAGCTTACAGATTTGAATACACTGAGGAAGGGATGTTACATATTTTTAAAATGCTTCTGAATGAAGAAACACATTGTCAATAGTATTTTTTAGTATTTTGTATACATTGATAGTGACTTACCGTATACTGACCATAACTTTAAAAAGCCAACTTAAGTTTTTTTAAATACTATAAAATTATGCCATACTAGGTTTTAGAACAAGTTTATAATGCCATAGAACTCTGATTCTTTGAAGCTGTTTCAAAATTGTATTTGGATACTTAAGACACTGAATAGAAAACAATGACTATTTTGATGCCATGTCCTTGCCCAGATATTTGATTCCCAATGACGATATGTTTAGGAACATGCTGTTATGAAAAGAGGGGAATACATTTACTACCTGAGGAAATATATGAGGAAATACTCATAGGACACTTTCTATGATATCCAACCATTATTTATGTAGAGTCTCCAAAATTAACCTAACCATCCAGACTCACAAGACCATTCCCTTTCCCTATTTCTGTATCATGAGCACAATGTAAATGTAAGTTCTTTTGGTTACTCATGGTCTTTATTTTATCATTTCCTTTACTTTGCTCAATTTCTGTTTTCCTTTTAAAATATCTCTCAAATATATGTGTTACTCTTTAGTTTTCCATTACTCAAATTCAGACTTTTTTGCATTTTACTTTTTCTTTCATTTTCCTGAACATTTGAATATATAACAAGGGAAAAGTCATTATGGGCAGAAGGAATGCCGTTGATAAAATGCACCAGGATTTCCGTGTAGAACTAGGCCTAAGAGGCAGGGAGGCTGGTGACTTCGAAGCCAGGGATGGGTGTGTGGAAAGCGCTAAAATGTCAGAGGTGGCCCAGGAGTGAGGACATGGGTTTGAGGAGTGACCTTTTAAAATTGTAAGCCTTTAGAGGCCATCATCTTTCTATTTTCTTTTTAAATTATTTTTTTTTAATTTTTTTTTAGCATTTATTCAGTTTTGAGAGACAGAGAATGAGTGGGGAAGGGGCAGAGAGAGAGGGAGACACAGAATCTGAAACAGGCTCTAAGCCATCAGCACAGAGCCTGATGTGGGGCTCAAACCCACAAACTGTGAGATCATGACCTGAGCTGAAGTCGGATGCTTAACCGACTGAGCCACTCAGGCGCTCCTTTAAATTATTTTTTAATGTTTTACTTATTTTTGAGAGAGAGTGAGTGTGAGCGTGGAAGGGTCAGAGAGAGGGAGACCCAGTATCTGAAGCAGGTTCCAGGCTCTGAGCTGTCAGCACAGAGCCCGACGTGGGGCTTGGACTCACAAACGACAAGATCACAACCTGAGCCGAAAGTCAGACACAACTGACTGAGCCACCCAGACGCCCCTCTTTTTATTTTCTTTTATATTCTGAGCACCTAGCACCATTTCTGGTTCATAGAAGGAGTTTGGTAAATGTTTTTTGGCTAAATGACTCAGAGATCCAGCAGACTTTCATTTTCCAAAAGTTTTTTCTGTTAACAACATGGAGTGTGAACTGGAAGGTTGTGGCACTGGAAGCCGCAGACCCAGTGCCTTCACTCATCAAATGGGAAATCATGAGAACCAGCCAAGGCAGTGCCTTTTTTCAGTTGAAAGGAGAGAAATAAATGAAATGGTTTAGAAAAAATAGGTAGGACTTAGTTGATAGTCCTTAAAACTACAGATGTCTAATTTGTCATGAGAAATAGCTTTGTCAAGATTAAAATATAAAATGTGGATTATTATGATAACTTTTATCATTAATGTACCTCTCGGGGATTTTCATGGGGTATTAAAGATGATATTGTTTTCTTCATTCTAAATTTTGTTTGTTTTTTAATACTTGCTGAGTAGTCCTAATATGTTAGTAAGGGATATATTTTACAAAATGTAAACCTAAATCAAATTTACCCTAGGACATTCCAGAAGATATTCGTGAGAATTTAGTGGAGGAGCTTCCTCAGCCACGGAAAGTGCCCCGACGCCTGGATGAGTACACGCGGGAAGAAATCGAGGCCTTCCCAAGAGTGTGGTCTCCGTAAGTCTTCTCTCTTTTCCTATCTTTGATTCTGTTTCTCTGTTTTTTTTAAGCTGAGTTGAGTATTCCCTGCTTCCTCAGCCAAATGACAAGATCCTTCCTTCCCGTGGTGGGAAGAGTGAACCTTTTTTTTTTTTACTCCCTTGGATACTCTGCATCTTCTACCTGCAAACAAACTCTACATGTAGATGTTAGAACCGGACATCTCAAGTCTTAAAACCTTGCTCAGTACATGCAAGGGTGTTCATAGGTGCCTATAATTGCTAGATGTTTTGTTGGGATGACATTATTTGGATCGATTGTAGTTTCTTGGAATGATAAATGAATTGTCATTACCTAAAACAAAGTGATTCTTCATTTTCCAGATTGCTTCACTAACCTGAGAATATCATCTGATGCAAAGTCATTAATTCTGGATAATTAATAACCTTGATCCAATTAGAAAAACAAAATAACAAAACCGTTTTTGGTATCATGTCTACAATTTCCTCTAAGTTCCAGAAAGCTGCTGAGTTTTGACATACTCTTTCCCATCTAATTGTTTCCAGGTTTCCTTATCTGGCTTTCCAGTCTGTCCGTGACCTGGCTCCTCTCTGACTCTGAAGCTTAAATTCTTCCCACTTCACTGGTCTAATAATAGCAGCTTGTCTACGACTGTCACCCTTTTTGTGCAATTTAATTCTTCCTTGCCTTTATTCTATTACTTTGCCTGAAACAACATGCCTGTCGCCTCATTCTCTGCAATAACTCTGACTCATTCTTTAGACCTTAGTTCAAATACCACCACCAATAGGAAGCCTTGCCTAAACATCAAGACCAGACTTCATGCCCAGCCATCTTCTGCCATAGTACCTGGTGTGTAATTCTGTCATCACATTTAGTTCTTAAAAAGCAAGGGCTGCATCTTGTTCATCATGGCCTCCCCAGTGCATAGAACAGGACTTGATATACCTAAGTCTCAGAAACATTTACAGAATTTATACAGTCTAAAAGAGAACCACACATCCTTATTGCTTGATCTATACAAGACAGCTCATCTTCCCACAGATATTACCCTCCGTGCTCTGAAAATCCATATCCCTTTATTGGCTCTTTACTCAGATAGGTTTGTGAAATATAGGTGAAATCCCATATTTGTGAAAATATAAGCCTTCACAGGATTGTCAGTATGCCCAGCAATCTAATCTTGGACTCTGTTGTCATTACATGTATATAATCTTCAGAGTCTTTCCAAACAGAAGTCTTTGGAGTGTTCTGCTTGAATCTTTTTAACTTTACTGACTTGTATCAAGGCGTTCCTTTCAAAATCTGCAGATGATGAACAAAATAATGTAATTTTTAGTGACTATTTATTATAGTCACTGTTTATTGGACACTTATCAACTGCCCAACACTGTGCTAGGTATTTTACATGCATTGTATTTAATTCTCTCCACAGGCCTATAACGTAGATATATTATTCCTATTTTTAAGTGTAAGGCAAGGGTCATTGAGTTTATAGTATAGCCTGCATTTGAACCCAACTGTGTCTGATTCCAAAGCCTATGTTCTTTCCATAGAAGCAAACTGCTTCATTAATTTATTTTTTCTACAAATATATTTTAGCTACCTCTTCTGTATAAGATACTGTCATAGGCACTAAGACACACAGAGAAACACCATTAAAACAATTAATTCGGCTGCACAAACTTTTACTGAGTTTATACTATGTGCTAGACCTTTTGATGAATGTCTAGGATATACAGATCATGCAGCACTTAAACGTAACCTCCTCCAGAAGTCCTTCCTATACTCCTTAAACTGGATTAGGCCCCCTTAATAGGGTCTCATTGTACACTTCCTTTTCATTTACTGCATTTATTCTAATGGAATAAAATAGCAGGGTGATTTTTTTGTTTACTGTCTTTCTCTAACTAGACTTCATGAGGGAGCTGCATGTTGTCTTACTTAGCTAAGCATAGCGGCATCTGGCACTCAGCAAATACTTATTCAATGAATAAATGAGGAAATCAAATATCCTTGTATCAGCTTTTATAAATGAAGTTAGGAAAGAATCTCTAGAAGAAATAAAGCAAAGGTAGTAAAATGCTCCAATTTAATACTAATTCTTCAAGCTGCAGTCAATGAAATTGACCAGCTATAAAAACACTTTGGTTTATTTCTTTTGTTTCTCTTCATTATATCATTTGAACTAGTCTGTTTTCAGTTAATATCAAATGAGAATTAAGAAACTGTTTGTAAAAAATGGAAAAAATTGATTTTATGGTGTCAGATACCATCACCAGCTAGTTATCAGGATACATTCTTGTGATAAGTATTTCTCTCTAAAATAAGGAAGTGCATTTCTCATCACTCCTTAGATTCTGGTTTTCACTGCTTGACGATGACAATGTCATAGACCAGAAACTATACATTATGTGATGTGATGTGATTCTAACAACTAAGTGTAGGGTGATTGTCTCTCTTCTTTTGACCTTTTTAGATACCTATTTAATAGTTTCCTTCTTGTCAAAACTCAAGAGTCTATTTTAAATTATTTTTATTTAAATTCATTTTTTTTTACCCAGGTTGTGTCATGCTTTATTTAGATAAATCAGTAGTTTGTGAAAATCTATGTTGTACAATTTGTTTTACACGCTTTGATATTTAGTTTCCTCCTTTGACATCTGAGAGACGAGACTTCTGTACTTGGAAAATTTTATGCTTTCAGAATTAATTTAACTTGTTCTTAGAGACTTACATGGTCATTTATTCAAGACATTCAATGGGCCTTTTCCTACTTAAACTACATAGAACTTAAATTTTTTATCTTCAAAACTGAACCCTCATATATGGAATATTTTTCTAGGAAGATATAAACATTTTTTTAATTCTTTTTTTTTAAATGCTTATTTATTTATGTAAGAGAGAGAGCAAGAGTATGAGCAGAGGAGGGGTAGAGAGAGAGGGAGAGAGAGAGAATCCCAAGCAGGCTCCACCATGTCAGCACAGAGCCCATCGCGGGCCTAGTCCCACAAACCATGAGATCATGACTTGAGCTGAAATCAAGTTGGATGCTTAACTGACTGAGCCACCCAGGTGCCCCTAAAATTCTTTTAAAGAGATGTGCAGTTCGCCACAAATTTAAATCTATTTCTAATTTATGGAAAACATTAGCTTAAATTTACACCCTGCAATTTTTTCTTTACTAAGATTTCACATAGGCTTTGCATAATACACACAACATTTACTTCAAATAAAATACTCTTGAAAGTAAACTCAGGCATTCAGTTAAAAACTTTCACTTCTTGGGATTTAAAAAGTATTAAATGTTCAATGTAGAAACTGTGAATAAGATACAAACTTAAGGAAGTAAATAATCTCACCGTAGTTAATATTTCGGTGTGTTACCTTCCACTGTTTCTTTGTGCTTGTGTTGTGTGTTAGTCTTTAGATTTTTTAATCCCCACTTTTTTCATAAATAAAAAAATGTAGGCACAGAAAGAAAAATAATTTGCCTGAGATCACCCAAGTATAAGTGGTGGGTTAGGGATTTAAACCTAAGGTGACTGGCTTCTGGGTCATGGTCCTAACCTCTCTGCTGGAGTGCCTCTTCTTGCCTCTTGTAGCAGCTTATGTAAGTGTGAGTAAGTTGTATGAAGTTCTCCAGTATTATGCTCTAGAAAGTTATATCCTTAAAAAGTATTTTGCTGGGTTATCATGCTGTATGAAGTCCTTTAAGTTTAAGAATGTCTTATCAGAGAGCTCCTGGGTGGCTCAGTTAAGCATCCGACTTTGGCTCAAGTCATGCTCTCATGGTTCATGAGTTCAAGCCTCTCATTGGGCTCTGTACTGACAGCTCAGAGCCTGGAGCCCACTTCAGATTCTGTGTCTCCCTCTCTCTCTGCCCCTTCTCTGCTCATGCTCTGTCTCTATCTCAAAAATAAGTAAACATTAAAAAAGCATTTTTTACAAAGAAAAATATTGTATCAGATTTTCTTACAGAAACACCACCATAAATGAATTTATATTCCTAACCAAGAGGGGTATGGTACTTTTTTTTTTTTTTAATGTTTTATTTATTTCTAGGAGAGAGAGAGAGACAGCGTGAGCAGGGGAGGGTCAGAGAGAGAGGAAATCACAGACCGAAACAGGCTCCAGGCTCTGAGCTGGCAGTCAGTACAGAGCCCGACGCGGGGCTCGAACCCACAAACTGCGAGATCATGACCTAAGCGAAAGTCGGATGCTTAACTGACTAAGCCACCCAGGCGCCCCTATGGTATTTCTTTTTTATTAAAAATAACAAGGATGCTACTTAATTAAATATATGAACAAACATAGATTATGCACTTGGAGTTGTGTATCATGAATAGTCTAAATGAGTTAAACCAGATAGTATAGTAATATAGTAACCGTTCACAACAAACTATATTTAGTATTATTATAATTGAAGAGTAATGATCAGGGGCGCTACTGATCAGTTAAGCACCGACTTTGGCTCAGGTCATGATCTCACAGTTTGTGAGTTCGAGTCCAACATCGGGGTCTGTGGTGACAGCTCAGATCCTAGAGCTTGCTTTGGATCCAGTGTCTCCCTCTCTCTCTGCCCCTCCTATGCTCACACTCTCTCTCTCTCTCTGTCTCAAAAATAAAATAAACATTAAAAAAAAATTTTAATTAAAAAAAAGTACTGATCAAACTGCTCATTTTACTAAGTGATTCTTGATTCCTGGTTCATTTAAAGCAAATTAGAAGGAGACTGAGTGCCTTTATTATATTAATGAAATTAGGAAGGGATTTTCTATAATTAGTCTTAAGGAGACTTGTAGAGAAATTTAGAGTAGCTTGATGCATTTTTGGGTTGCTGCTCTGGGGAGGTATTTCCCTGCCCTTTATTTTCATTCCAGATTACCCTATAGCAGGATTATGCATTAAGGCACCAGGCTTTCCTTTATACTTAATAAAAGTATAATCTTTCCTCACAAGTAGCCATATAACTTGTGTTAATTTCTGTTCACCAA